TATCAGGGAAGAGCTGCGGTGTGATGGTCATGGGGCAGCAGCGAGGAGCCAGAGCAATAGCATGTGCAAAGGCCCCGTGGCCAGAGGGAATCGATTGGGTGGAAAGGAGGCCCTGTGACTGATGTGAGGAACAGATGCTAGTTCCAGGGTGACATGCACATCCTCAGGATGAAGATTTGGGCCTTTGTCCCAAGGGCAAAGGAGAGTCATGCAAGGTCTAAGGCAGAGAGGGGCATGATCCGATTGGTGTTTTAAGTCTTGGTCGTGGTGACCTGAGCGTCCACGAAGGTGGTCCAGGGTTCCAGGATTTGGGGACCCTGACACGTGGTTGGTGACCTAACCACATGTTGCAGGAGCTTCAGGTTCCTGAAGCCAACGGGGAGGGGTCAGCTGGTGGGGGCCGGGACCCCGTGAAGCCCTGCAGCCCTTGGAGGACTCCTGGGCGGCTCAGCTGCCACTGCCCCTCGCAACAGTGCAGGGCTGCGGGGGGCAGAGGGCGCCATGCTGAGCGGGCTCCTCCTCTCCCTGTGCTGCAGCCACACAGGGTACTGCCTCCCCGCATCCGTTAGGAGCCGTCATTTAGGGATGATTGACAGTCCGCGGGCGCGGGCTCCGGGCTTCCGTGCACCTGCTGCTCGGTCGCAGGTGGAGGGACGCAAGGCTTGCAGACGCTGGAACCTGCAGGAAGATTCTGGGTCTTCAGATGTGGACAGAGGAAGGAAGGTAGGCGACCAGAGTCCAGGGCGTGTGCCAGGGCCCGTTCCTCAGTGCCCTGTCACCCGGGGCCTTGGGCGCCACCTCTCCCAGAGCCCTGCCACCCCCGTTTGTGAGCCCTCGGCTCAGCCTCAGGTGGGTGGTGGGCGTGGCCAGAGGAGGCCCCGCCCCTACCACACGCGAGGCCACGCCCCTACCACAGCGAGGCCACGCCCACCCATGGGCCTCTCTGGGCTGGGCATGCAGCAGGCGTCTAGAAACGGCAGGGATTCCGGGTAAACTCTGCTCTCCGGCCGGTGTGGCTGTGCCGTAGGCCATGCCAGGGGCTGGCTTGGGGACAGATTCTGCGACAGTGGAGCTGCTGCTGACAGATCGGTGTCCCAGAGGCCACGGGTCATTTCACAGAGAGAGGTCTGAAGGTCTGGGCCGGGTCTGGGTGGGCTTCTTTGGTCTTTAGGGCTGTTCCCTGAATCCGTGGTTTTGCAAACCCACAGGCTGGCTAGGCCAGGGGTGGCCGATGTCCCCCAGGCTTGAGCGCAGGTTCAGGGGCTCTTTGCAGCGACAACTGCGTCCGAGTCCTGGACGTGCTGTGGGATGAGGAGGGAGGGGGAGAGGGCCTCCTGCCCCAGGCTGACGTCATCTCACAACAAAAGGCTTACGCCATCCTTCCCACCCAGGCGGAAGTATGCCTGGCCCGAGGCCCGGGCCAGTGGGTGGACTCAGCCCAAAGCCAGGTCTGTGGGTGGTGGGAGCCGGGTTTCCTGCCCCTGCCCCTGCTGGAGGCTGTCTGGGTCCCTCAGGAGCTGTGTGGCCTTTGGGTCAGTTGTTTAGTTGTCTCAGGCCTCAGTTTCCTCATCCACAAAAGGGGCTCACAGCCCAGGCCAGTTTGGGAGGCTGAGGCAGGAGGACCACAAGTTGGAGGCCAGCTTCAGCCACTTAGCGAGGCCCTGTCTCTAAATAAAATAGAAAAAGGGCTGGGCTGTGGCTCCATGGGCAGCACCCCTGGGTTCCATCTCTGGGACCAAAAACACAAAAGGGGGTGCTCACAGAGGGCTCCCTCCTAGAGCGGGGTACTGGTGAGCCTCATTTTCTGCATCTGTCAGATGTGGGCTCGGTCCCCAAAAGAGGAGCTGAGCTGTTCTGCAGCACAGAGCAGCCGCCCAGGGCCGTCGTCCCCTCTGTCCCCTGCTCCCGGGGTCCAGGGTGGGAGGGGCAGTGGATGTGTGTTTTCGTTCCAGTGAATGAGCACGCGTGTCTTCGGCTGGCCGGGGACCGTCCCCTCTGGTGAGAGGGCCAAGGACAGGCCTGCTGGGGCTGGGTGTGTGTGGGGTGTTCGCTGCCTACTTTCCGTCCCCGCCCCTGTTTGTCACTCCAGCTGGGCCAGATGTGCAGCCAGTGTCCTCATGCTCTGTCTCCGCCCTGCCCCCAGAGCCCTTCCCCCTGGCCGTGGGTGGAGGGGGACCGCTGGCCTGCACCATCCTCGTTGTCCAGACCGCAGTCCCAGGACGCCTGCAGATCGCTGGCTCTTGGCGGGGGTCAGGGCTGGCGGGCCC